CTCAGGCTTGCTACTTTTTTTTTATTAATTTGAGCCCCTTTTATTTTTTATCTCAGTGGTGCTTCTAAAGTTATATTATTCAATGAATTTTCTATTTCTATTCTTCTATCTTCAGTTTATGTTTGGGTTTCTTTCCGGGAACAATTACGACTGTTTTCCATGACCATTTTGTATTTTACTACTTTTAACGATATGTATTTGGTTCGATAAATTGTTTATTCAATATGTGATATATTGTCAGTTTTATAATTCTTTTTCATATTTTTAAAATAAATTACTACTACAAAAAAATTTCGTGACATTCCAATTTACAAATTGACATTCAACAACCCAACTTAAAAACCATCCTTTCTACCTACTTCCCCAAAGTCTCCTTCACTTATTACTTTCTTGTATCAATTTTTAATATACAGGGTTATAATATTATTTTTATATTTATTACTATTATTATTATAGTTATTATTATTAATATTATTATTAGTACGGTTATTATTTTTAGTTTTATTATTAAATTTTGATAAAGGGTGTTTTCATTGCAGTATTTTTCTTTATCCGTTTTTGAGTTTTCTTTTAAATTCGAAATCTTCACATTTTCTTAAATATTTCGAATACATTACGTATAGTACAAAAAAAATCTGATGTGTCCAACACATGACTTTCCTATCTTATTATTACAGCTTTTTCCGGGTTATTTTGTACAACCTATTGCCGCACATTCATAAATGTTTAGAGGATAAAATAAATATATACATTTTCCACATACATCTACCTCGAAACATTTTTCTATAGATATTCATTGAAAATGAAATACTGAAAAATTTAAATTTAGCACTTTTTTTACAATTTTTCCATTACGGTCCATTTAGAAAAATCATGTATAAACAAAAATTATAGAGATCGATATCGCAAACAACTTTTATTTCAACAATTTTCATAAAAATCGGAATTTTGCACATTTTGTCAAATTTCTCGAATACGGACCATTTCAGGAAATTTTGACAAAAAGCAAAAATTATAGATAATAATATTAAAATAACTTTTATTTGAACAATTTTTTTCTCCAAACATAAATAACAGATATATTCCATAAAATAATAAAAACGGCCCCCCATAAAGTACTTCCCAGATGTCCGACTCTTGTCCAAAATCTAATCATTTCACGTCAGGCCGAAATAAAACTTAAGTTTAAAATTTAATGTTTTTTTCTTTATCAGTTTTTGAGATTTCTTCAAATTTCGAAATTTACACATTTTCTCAAATATCTTGAATACAGTCCATTTAAGAGAAATTATGTATAGGATAAAAATTATAGAAAATTATATTACAAACAACTTTTGTTTGATAATTTTTATAAAAAAAAATATTTTTTTACATTTTGTCAAATTTCTCGAATACGGACCATTTTAGGAAAATTTTTTATTTAACAAAAATTTTAGATAATAATATAAGAAGTAACTTTTATTTAAAGAATTTTCATCCTTAAACGTAAATAACAGATATATTTCATAAAATCAGCACATTAAACGCTGGAACAAAGCCTAAGTTTGAAATTTGGTGTTTTTCTGTGTAACGGTTCATGAGTTATGCGACACACAGACACACAGATACACACACAGACACACAGACACACAGCCACACCGACACACAGACACACAGACACACAGACACACAGACACACAGACACACAGACACACAGACACACAGACACACAGACACACAGACACACAGACACACAGACACACAGACACACAGACACACAGACACACAGACACACAGACACACAGACACACAGACACACAGACACACAGACACACAGACACATAGACACACAGACACACAGACACACAGACACACAGACACACAGACACACAGACACACAGACACACAGAACACAGACACACAGACACACAGACACACAGACACACAGACACACAGACACACATACACACAGACACACAGACACACAGACACACAGACACACAGACACACAGACACACAGACACAGACACACCAGACACACAGACACACAGACACACAGACACACAGACACACAGACACACAGACACCAGACACACAGACACACAGACACACAGACACACAGACACACAGACACACAGACACACACAGACACACAGACACACAGACACACAGACACACAGACACACAGACACACAGACACACAGACACACAGACACACAGACACACAGACACACAGATACACAGACACACAGACACACAGACACACAGACACACAGACACACAGACACACAGACACACAGACACACAGACACACAGGACACACAGACACACAGGCACACAGGCACACATACACACAGACACACAGACACACAGACACACAGCCACAAGACCACACAGACACACAGACACACAGACACACAGACACACAGACACACATACACACAGACACACAGACACACAGACACACAGACACACAGACACACAGACACACAGACACACAGACACACAGACACACAGACACACAGGACACACAGACACACAGACACACAGACACACAGACACACAGACACACAGACACACAGCACACAGACACACAGACACACAGACACACAGACACACAGACACACAGACACACAGACACACAGACACACAGACCACAGACACACAGACACACAGACACACAGACACACAACAACAGACACACAGACACACCAGACCACACAGACACACAGACACACAGACACACAGACACACAGACACACAGACACACAGACACACAGACACACAGACACACAGACACACAGACACACAGACACACAGACACACAGACACACAGACACACAGACACACAGACACACAGACACACAGACACACAGACACACAGACACACAGACACACAGACACACAGACACACAGACACACAGACAACACAGACACACAGACACACAGACACACAGACACACAGACACACAGACACACAGACACACAGACACACAGACACACAGACACACAGACACACAGACACACAGACACACAGACACACAGACACACAGACACACAGACACACAGACACACAGACACACAGACACACAGACACACAGACACACAGACACACAGACACACAGACCACAACAGAAGACACACAGACACACAGACACACAGACACACAGACACACAGACACACAGACACACAGACACACAGACACACAGACACACAGACACACAGACACACAGGCACACAGACACACAGACACACAGACACACAGACACACAGACACACAGACACACAGACACACAGACACACAGACACACAGACACACAGACACACAGACACACAGACACACAGACACACAGACACACAGACACACAGACACACAGACACACAGACACACAGACACACAGACACACAGACACACAGACACACAGACACACAGACACACAGACACACAGACACACAGACACACAGACACACAGACACACAGACACACAGACACACAGACACACAGACACACAGACACACAGACACACAGACACACAGACACACAGACACACAGAGACACAGACACACAGACACACAGACACACAGACACACAGACACACAGACACACAGACACACAGACACACAGACACACAGGCACACAGACACACAGACACACAGACACACAGACACACAGACACACAGACACACAGACACACAGACACACAGACACACAGACACACAGACACACAGACACACATACACACAGACACACAGACACACAGACACACAGACACACACATACAGACATCATCGCGAAAATAGTCAAAACGAATTCAGGGGACCTTAAAACGTAAAAATCCGTCGAAAACTCGAGGTCGAAAAAAATCATGATTCCTATACTTTCCTTATATCTGTATACAGATAGGAAAGTAATTATAAAGAATTATATTTTAAACAACTTTTATTTAACCAATTTCCATAAAAATCCGATTTTTTTACATTTTGTCAAATGTGTCGGACAATTTTAGAAAAATTTTGCATATAACAAAAAATTATATAGAATTAATGGATCAAATGACTTACCTGAAGGAAGTTCGATCCTTATTATGCGAGCATCCTTGTTAGTAGAAATAAAGATAACCATGTAGTATACCTATGTTACGCCACTGACCCACATGTTCAGATTAAAAATTTTACGTTACTCTCTATCACTGCCTGTCTAGATTACTCATTATCTGTTGTGGAGCCTAGGAGTTTGGGGTTAAAAATAATATAAATATGGTGGAGGTGGGACTTTATTTCCACTAACAAGGATGCTCGGATAATTACGATCAAACTTCCTTCAGGTAAGTCGTTTGATCCATTAATTATGCTTCACATGCTTGTTAGTGGAAATAAAGATAACCCTGTAGTTGTTTAGAGGATATTATATTCAAAATAAAACTATATTTTCGCTTCCTACGTAAATGTATACAATAGAATATGCAAAAAAACTATTACTATAAATTTCCCACAAAATTAACAATAATAATTAATAATAATACTAATGAATTAATCATTAAACAACGTTACAAAAAATAATATTGAATTTTAACAATCCAGTTTTAACCCTTTCGCTCCAGGTATTCACAATTGTGAGGGTCTTATTTACTTATGCTATAAAGCATAAAATAACATTTTGCTTTGTTTGTGCCAATTGGATACGTTTGTGATGGTCCAAAGATTGGGTACGTAACGGTATAAAATTTTTTTCGTTAGTTTGTATCTGGCCACGTGGGAGTAAAGTGTTACAATCTTGAGATCACTGTCAGCCATGGCTAATCAAGGTAGGCAATCATTAATTTCTTTGGGTTTTTTACTGTTTTATGAAAATATGACGTAGAAAGAGTTGTTTTTTTTATGTAGAGTATAATAATATATCAAAACAATTGATTTTGTATTTCTAATCACCTATCTTTTTTGTTAGTTACAATTGTGAGGGATAGGAGTAAGTGAAGTAAACATTTCTTGTTTTGTTTCAAAAGAGAAAACTTATCGATTTAGATACTCTTAAAGATAATCCTGATGAAGTTTTTAAATTGTTGGATGAGATTGATTCAGAGCTTGAATATGACAGTGATGAAGATGATACATGGGAGCCTGTACAAGTAGGTCAACCCGATTCTTCATCCGATAGTGAAAGTGATGGAGAAGAATTAGATGAACCCGCCCCAGCTCCTCCATGCAAAAAGAAAAAACAACCACTTAGGACCCTCTGGAAAAAAGCTGTGTTTACAAGTAAAAATGGCCCTTCTAATGTAGAGGGTGAGAATCCAAATGAAATTTTAACTCCCTGGGGTTACTTTAGTCGTTATTTACCTG